GTTTGTCTGTGTATATTCTGTAGATAATTTATAATACTGATTTAAAACAAAATGTAATTGTAGCTATTTTGTAGTTTTTTTGTAGATAATTAGTTAAAGGAAATAATTAAATATAATCTATTTTTGTTGCAGCACATTGATGTTATAATGTACTACTTGAGAAAAAGAGGAAAGTATGGCCCCACAACAAGATAAGGTTTACTACCACTGATTGTTTGTTCAAGACTAGAATTGAACAAAGTTATAATAAGTTCATCAATTCTCCTCAAGAAAAGAAGTTTGTTGTTGTTAAACCCCAAGACGTCGTAGCAGAATACATATTGGGGTACAAATTACTGGCAAATATTGCATGGGATCAAGTTGATTATGTGATCATGCCCGTCATAATTGTAGAAAAATTCCACTGGATGTTGGTTGTTTTTGACATTGCCGATAGGGTTCTTTATGTGTATGATTTTATGATCTCTTCACATAATCACTCTATTGTTGAATCTGTAGTCACCAAGTTTTCTATTATGATCCCTCTTTACATGTCATGAACCGGTTTTTATGGCAAGCGATCAGACATCAACTTCAAGAACACAAAGGCATACATTGAAAAAGTTGTTACCGACCCTATTGACATTCAGTGGATCGTAGGAGAGGTACCACAACAAAAAGAAGGATCATTGTATGAAAAATCTTATTTCTTTCTATCTACTTAACATTTTTTTGTTCATTATTTGCTAAATATTGACACTTTTTTAATTTTGCAGTGACTGTGGTGTATATGTTGTTGCCTTTGCAGAGTATGTCAGCATTGGAGATCTAGCAGTTCCTGCGGATGACCTTTCTGATATTGATCAACATCGTAGACGCTATGGAGCTCTACTATGGGACTACGCTAGGAAGAAGTAAGAGAATGGTGCAATTAGTGAAAGTGAGGTGATTGTCAGATTAGCAAGGAAAAAAGACGCACCAGTTGTGAACGAGAAAACACAAGTCTTGAGGAAGAAGAATTAGTTGCAATTTTTTGTATGGAACATGTAGTTAAATTATTTAGTTGCAGCTAGTTTTGTAGAAAGATAGTAGACAAGTTTATGAACAAGATTGTTGAAGTTTAATTGTAGCAGATTTATGCTACAATTATTTTGCACTTTATTTTTTTATTTTATCCAGTATACTAGTTCGATCAATAGGGAAACATTCTATTTTTTTTATATTCACTGGTTGAAAGTAAACAGTACTTGGTCTAATTATTGTTACTGGTTAACTCCTTTTCAACTTAATTATTATGTAGTTACTCTGTCAACTCCAGATTATGTAGTTATTTTGTAATTTTTCTGTAGATAAATTGTAAAGATCATAAACAAATATCGTTGGGTGCTGGAGATAATAAAATAATTGTGTACTACATATTAAACAATCAACCTATGAAAATATTAAATCAATACGGAATACTAGTTAAACAAAACAATGTCAAACTAATTACATTAAGAGTTGAAGGTGCCTCAACAATTATACATCAAATATAATTCTCATGAACTCAGCAACAACTTTTATGAAAAATTCAGTTTACTACATAAAATTTTATTTCTTTTTGGGAGCATTCTTGCAAGATCTTTTGTTATGCCCTTCTACTCCGCAGTTGCTACATGAAACCTTGTATTTCTTCGAATTTACTTCATTATATATTTTGTATCTTTGTTTTGAGGTCTTCCTGGCTGTCTTTTCCCACCTGAAGGTGGATTTACAACTTCTTCAGTTATACGTTGTGGCATATTCCATTTGCTTTCATCAGGTAGGGGATTTACTGGTATTTCATAAGTACGCAAGAGGTTCTCCCTTGTGTAATAAGGAGAACAATATTGTTCATAAGACCCATCCCTGTGCCTTAAAGCAGCCAAAGCATGTGGACAAGGAAGTTCATCAAGCTGGAATTGCCCACAACTACATCTTTTATTTTCAAGACAAACAATATAGTCCCTCATACCATCTAGTACTGTATGGATGTAGTCTATTGAAGCCCTCACCTACAATTACATTACAAAAAAAACAATTCATATATGATTAGATACAAAATATCTACAAATTATCTACATTCTCTTTTAATAAATAGTTTTGATGCAATATATGATCAGATCTTACTCTAAGCTTGTGCGACAATGTTCTGTTGTCATCCAACTCTTTGTTGAATTTAAACCCAAGGTATGTGAATGTACCCTTTTCTTTCAATAACTTTTCATTAGTCCAACGTTCAAGAAGAGTCCTCATATACTCTAATAGTTTTACTATCGGCAGTTCTCTTGCATCTTTTGTTACAGCATTCAACGATATCATAGTCCAAATTTTGTTCACCGTAGCATGTACTCGAGACCATCTATGATAGCCAATATCGTATAAGTATGCTCTAACACGCGGTTCAATCTCTTCAATCTTTGACATCCTTTCATTAAATTCATCAAGCATGTATGACTGTGCCTTGGCAAAGTACAATTCGCTTAACTTTAGATGTCCCTTATTGAACTTTGCTCTTATATTTGTCCAAATATGCCACATGCAAGAATAATGTGGCATGGCGGGATAAACAATAGATGTTGCCTTCAAGATACTCTCATTCCGATCTGAAACAACACACATATTTGGTCTTTCACCATACGTATGTTTGAATTGCTCAAAAAACCACTTCCATGATGCGTCATTTTCTGAATCAACAACAGCATATGCCAATGGTAATATGGTACATACATTATGTGGCAAAAAGCAATTAATTGGCTGCAGGAAGAATGCAGAAGAAGACATATACATATAAACTACAACTTTTCTACAATAAATCTACAAGTACTACAAAAAACAGACAAGCTACAATATTTCTACAATAAAACTTTAATACCTGCTGCATCCATTGTACTAGCTGTTAGCATTATTCCCATGTATGCTGACTTTAAAAAGGTCCCATCAACTACTACAATTGGCCTACAATATTCCCAACCACTGATTGACGTACAAATCGCAACAAATATATACAAGAATCAGTCATCGTCCGTCTTCTTCAATTTAACTACAGACCCCGAATAAGTCTTCTCTAGAATATACAAATAACTAGGCAATTTGTTGTATGAGTCAGCAGGATGACCTCTCAAAAACTCCAAAGCCTTTTCCTTTGCTCTCCAAGCTTGCATGTATGTTAAGTTCACGCTGTGTTCAGACAACATATCAGTTTGTATGTCTTTGGTGTGTAAATTGTCTTAGGATCAACATATTTTGGAATAACCATGCTACTAACTACATGGCAGTAGGTTTGTATTGTATGAATGTACTGTCTATCAAAAAGCATGTGTGCAAGCTGTTGAAATTTCTAACATTGAACATTACAAAATCATTTATGCTATTTGCCTTGAAGTGCCATGTACAATTTTCACCAACACGTACCAGCCAGTAGCTACAAAATAAAAACAATTTAAACACTGGTATAAAAAATGTAGATAAAAAAAAATAGTTGTAGCATAAAAGATCATATTCAACAATTTATATACAAAACAACTACAAACTATCTACAATTTTGTTTAACAATTTCACCAAAAAAAACTGAAGTAAAAAATTACAAATAAACTACAAAATAAAAAAGAATTGCAAGTGCAATGTTCCTACCTTCTAGCACTAGATCCTTTTACCCTAAATTGGAACTTGTTCGTGACTGAATAGTGCTTCATTGCACTTGCAATTGTTTGCTTGTCTTGGTATACTTGGCCTACTTCAATAACACTTGGTGTACTTTCTGGTATTATTATACTTTCATATTTCACTATCGCCGGAGATGTTGGAATATCAATTAACTTCAGTGTTCCAGATGAACCTGCAATAAAATAAAGCTAAATACTGTTATGAACTATTTTTTGTAGATATTTTGTAGTTAATTTGTAGACATGTTGAAATTCTGAATTTCATATTGAGCTACAAATGATATGTAGTTTTATTGTAGAAATATTGTAGATAAAATGAAATTCAATACTAATATATTATATATATATATTAGTATTGAATATATATATATCGCCTATTGACATGTACTTTTTTGTAGAAATATTGTAGATAACTTGTACATAAGTAATATACAACCAAAATTCGATAGTAATATAACAGAACAAACCTGCAATTGTGTTCGAATTGGTGATACTCAATCTCAAATTGAAACCACGTACTGTTATACATAGCGAATAGCTTCCTAAGCTTTTATTTTCCTTTTTCATCTCCATGTGTGAGCACGTGATTTTTGTCTTACGCGACAATCGCTCCAAAAGAATTAAAAAAATAATAACAAATGGTCCTGCTATACAAATTTGGATTTTACATGGCACTTTGTTAATTATTTATGATATTTGCCCATTTTTATTAAAACAAAATACAAAATGTATGTGTGTCGTGCGTAATGTGAACCGTAATCCGATTGTTGAATGGGAGATCACAAAAATACGCATTTCTTTTGTCCTGATTTGTTGCTTTGTTTAATTTTACCTACTTAACATTTTATACGCGTGAAATAAATACGTTAAGTGTTAATTAATGGTGCTTAGTNGTGACCAAACCATGCTTGGTTTGGTCCGAATCTGACCAGGGAAGCATGAATCCCGGATCTAATTTTTGGAACCTTAGGGTTCCTCGTCACTGGTCCGTATCTTGTTCTAACCGAAGAGATTAAGGTCTAATGGACCTTAATCAAAGTGTTTCTCTGAGAAACACTTCGATTAAGGTCTGTTCAGCCTTAAGAAAGGTATGTTCGAGTCCAGGCTAGGGTCTTTTGATTTTTCGGGGTTTAAGGTGAGTTTTGTTCTCTTTTCTTTATTTGTTTTAGTCCATGTGATTGTTTTAAAGGCTGTTCATGTTTTGTGAAATTTGTGTTTTGAGTTTTATCAACTGTGTCCTGTCCACTTTGTTTGAACCTACGTGTTTGATTAGGTCTCTCTCCTGTTCTGATAATGCGTATGTATGTATGTGTTATGCAATTAACTGAATCTCAAATTTAAACCGATTAACTGACTCCTCGAGTACAATTCTGTTTGGTCAGTACAATTCAAATCATGTGTCGATACTGTTAAATGTCTGATTTTTGGCTACGATTGTGCACGTTATGACTAATATAGTCGAGTAGACATGTGTCGTCAATTAGTTTCAACTGCTGAACAATAACAAATTGATTTGCTTCTGGACACATTTGTTTGAATCAATTAGGAACTGAGTTTGTTTACTTATAGTTGTTAATTTGAATCAGAAATGTAAAAGGAATGTTTGTTTAAGTTCTGAATTGGAGGGCATGTGCACTTGTGCACAACATGTGCATTTGAGCACCACAGGTGCATTTGTGCACAGCCTGTGCCCTGCATTAGGGCTTTTGAATAAAATAGTTGACAGCACATGCTGTCAGATATATTCTGCTGCCCATTACCCTGCTTTAGTTTAAGAAGTATTAAACCTCTTTTAAAAGAGTAAGTCTGCCAGGGAATGTGATGGGGGGTTAATACTTAAATAGCTAAGTGGAACTGAAAAGAAGATAGCACATGGGAGGGGTATCTGATTAGTCTATCAGGCTGTAAAAGGGGTCATGTTAAGGCTTTTAAAAGGGAGTCACATTGAGAGATATAGGGGGGATTCAGACTGAATCATTGAGGGCTTGAAGTTCAAAAAAGATAAAAAAAAACTGAGAGGAGTTCTTCTGATAACCCAAATAGATTTCAAGACTGAAAATTGGTACTGTTTTGTTTAAGAAGAAAAGAGATAGTGAGAGGGATATCATAAAGAGGCACATACAGACACATTGAGAGAAGCTATATATACAGATAGAGAATGAACAAGAAACAGAGAATATACAGATATTTCAGGAGAAACTGTTTTCTGTTTGGGTTTCATTCGCTGTCAACCTGTTGGGCTGTACTGATTCTTCCAAGTCTCGATTGAGATTACTGGTGGTATTTCACGCTTAGTTTCCTTTGAGTCGGTCTGCCTGGAGTTTTGTTTATGCAACACTGCCTACTGCTGTCATTTTCCACTTTTTCCTCGTCCATAATTGTATCTTGCACCGGAACTTGTCCTGCTGCTGTTATCTGTTACTGCTGCTGTTTCGCTTGCATTGTTGCTCAACTGACTCTCTTGCTTTCTTCATTGTAAGCATCTTCTCAGGTACACACTTCGAATCTGTCTGATGTAACTGATGTCGAAATGAAAGTTGAAATGAAAGATCTGAAGAATTTTTAATCATCTGTGGCTTTACTTACAGCTTTGCGAATATTGTTAAAGTTGTATAAATCCTTTAATTTGTAGCCTAATAGAGAATACATTAGTAAGTTTGTACTTAATTAATGTTTATGTTGATCTGAAACTGTGGTATTTGATTCATTTAGAAGCATACAGGATGTAAATACAGTTCATGGAATGTGAAACTATTCAATATGATTGTTAGAATTGAACTCACTCTTTCAGCATGCTTTGAATAGGTAGGGGCAAATGGTTGTTAAATCTAGCCAAATATAATATTTGAATCACCCAGTCTCAATTTCTTTGGGCAGTTCATAGGACTGGTTTTTCCTTTAATAAGAAATTCTATTAATCCCGCTTAAACGAGTTAATCTAAATCCGACTTAAGGATGTTGTTCGGATTAAGTGTTGTATTTTGTCAATCTCGCATGTAACTTCTTTGTCCAATTAAAGCATGTTTCACAAGGTATGACGTCCCTCCATTTTATAAAATAATTAATCAGAAATTGATCAGGATTCGGGTTAGGACAAAGCATATACTTGAATTAACATGTATCCTTCTCCTTCCATTTTTTAGACAAACGCAGTTAGAAATGTAGTTGATTTAGGATATCCTTTCTAAAAATAGAAACGAACCTCGCCAAATAAAAAAAATGCAACATTTGCGGGGCCCTCAATAACTAACCATAATAAATATTTTAAAATTCAGGATAGGCCGTTTAGTGAATTTCATGGCCTTCTCTAAAAATAATAACACGTTTAGACTCTTTAGGCGCGACTTAATTAAACTATATTCTTAAACTCGGGTGCACATTGATGTGACCCGAATCCAAAATCTCAACAGAGTCGAAATGTATTGATAACTACGGTTGCATTGATAGTGACGTGGTTTGAGATACATTTTCACGACGTTGCAATTCTATAAAAATAAATGATAATAGTAAAAGCAATTTAAACTTAATAAGAGCACATAAGTCGTAACATGTATTTAAATCAGATATTTAGCCATTATAACAATTTAAGCGACCGTGCTAGAACCACGGGATTCGAGGGTGCCTAACACCTTCCCTCGGGTCAACAGAATTCCTTACTTAGAATTTCTGGTTCGCAGACTTCATTTGGAAAAGTCGAAAATTTCCTCGATTTGGGATTCAAGATAAACCGGTGACTTGGGACACCAAAAACCAAACCTTTCCCAAGTGGCGACTCTGAATTAAATAAATAATCCCATTTCGAATATTGTCACTTAAATTGGAAAAACTCCCCTCGCGCATTTAACCCTTCGGGGGCGGGCGCGCAAAAAGGAGGTGTGACAGCTCTGGCGACTCTGCTGGGGACTATTAACCCAGAACCACTGGTTCAGGGTTCAAGAATTCGATCTTAGAATAATTGTTATATTTTGGCTTTATTATCTAATCTTTATTACATGTTTTTGCATAACGTGCTAAATTTTGTTTTTTACTGCTTTGATATTATCTTAACTGTTTATATAAACTGTGCTGAACCCTTCTCTCTTCACCTCCGGGGAGAAGCTCGCTGGTCGAGGCTCCCTATTCTGTTAGTGTCGATACCTAAAATAAGAAAGAGGACGGATAAGTTACGAAGCCGGACGGCCTTTTGATTCCCGGTAAGTTGCCCCTTCTCGACTCGAGTTGTCCGCTCANGGGTACACAGTCTAGAACATCTACCCAGGTTATAAACCTAGTATAACGAAACCTCATGCCGGATCCCTAGTAGGAACGCTTATCTGCATCATGTTGCATTTGACATAGGGGACTCAACACAGGGGTTGGGTCCGTCTAGGACAGGCAACCTGGAATGAAAAGACCATCCTGCTGCATCCCGTTTGTTGTGCGCATCTATTTGCTTCAGATCTGCATGTTGACCGGTTTCCGAAAAATTTTCAAAAAAAAGAATAGCAGGATAGGGAGATAATTACTTATTCTTTTGAAAAAAAAACCCATGTCCGAGTGATGTCAAACCTAACCGGAATTTTCTAAGATAAAAAAAAAAAAAAAAAAAAAAAAGCTCGCCTTTCAGTTTGACTATTCCTTTTAATCACTTTAAAAAATTCAAAAAATATATAAATAAAAAATCAAATTTTTTTTATTGTTTCATTTGTAGCACCGCTTTAAAAGATTTTCAAAATTTCAATAAAAAGGGGAAGTTTAAAATGTGTAAATATTTCCTTGGTCTCTTTTCAAAAATAAATAATAAAATGAAAAACAAAACATATAACAAAATTTCAAAAAAAAAAAAGGTTGTTCTTCTTTTCTTTAAAGGATTTTATTTTTGTTTCCCTTATTTTGATCTGACCGAACTACGCCGGTTTGATTCTCGCACGGGGTGAGATACGTAGGCAACCCTCGGCGGGTCCAACCTCCCGTTTTTGCAAAAAAAAGAAAATTAAAAAATCTAGATAATTTTAATTTTTGAGTCTAATAAAGTTTATCACCCTAAATAAATGTGCA